ATGTTTTATTTCTATTACAGGCCATGGTGTAAATAGACAGGTGAAGCATTCCCGATGCTGCGCACTCGTTCAGTTTTTGAACCAATCAGCGCGCGACCTTTTTTGCGAGAAAAGCAATATGGCTGCTTCCATCAATTCGTAGTCCGTTACGTCCGTTATCCGTCGCGTGCGTCTGTTGTGCGGGAAATATTTTGTGTTCAACTTTTGCGACTTTAATAAAACATACGCAGTAAGTAGTAAATATAATTAATGTTGAGAGGCATTTATATTGGTTGATATTTGCTAAATAACCCAAGTAGCAAAAAAATATTTTTCAACGTTTTTAAAAACATTTTTAGTAATAAAAAAAATATTTAAAAAACGTTTAAATTAATAGAACAGATCCTTTTTTTCTTATTAAAAAAGTATTTATTTTATTGATTTTTTCATTATTCACTGGCGATTTAAATTTTTATTTTTGCTGTATTTATTTTAGCATTGTAAAAAAAACGTTTTTTTAACATTAAAAAAATGTGTTTTTAATTATTTTAAAAAATTAAAGAATTTATTGCGAAAAATATTACCTCAGACGCTCTTCACGAAATGAGGGAGGATAAAATTATAAAAAACGTTACCTAATTTTATTCTGTTTGAATAAAATATTTATTTTTTTCGTTACATATGTCTTTTTATTATTATTTAAGTAAATTGCGTTTCAACCGAGGTTTCAACCCTTCTTCCTCACACTATAATTCAGAATCTACACTGTGGACGTGCGGTTAATTGACTCTAATCAAATTACGTAACCAAACTAGAACAGAATTAAAACAGAAGTTTAATAAATAAACTAATAAATGTAAGTTTAATTGTCATTAGTTTATTTATTTATTTAAGGTTTTATCTAAAATTTTACATGATTTACACATTTTTATTTCTTATAAGCAAACTTCACCTTAAAGTGAGCGCAACAAAATGGGTCGCCTCCTGATTGGTTCAACCGCCATTATGCGCAATGCTTCACCTTGTTTTTTACACCATGTTACAGGCAACATGTTTTCAATAAATATGCAATAGTAATAAAATATCTCAATATTTATTGTCTAATTAATATTTAGATTGCTTTTATAAACCAGGCTTGGACAACTTTGAGCTCCAGAACCACGACACTTCTTTTCTATCCGCGGAAAGTAGGGGAGTGTCGTGACTCCGGAGCTCGAAGTTGCCCAGGTTTGTTATATACTAATCTGCATTAGGGAATAATTCACTAATTATCATAAAAAAAAGTTTTATTTATATAAAAATAATACATACCATATAGGTATTACAGTTTTCAATTTATCACAATAATATCTTTGGTAAAGATCATTGATCATAGCGGAAGGTTTTGGGATAAAACTCATCTTTTAAATAAAAAAATCAGATTTCTGTCTCAAATCCAGAAAAAAATGCATTTTAAGGCAAGATCAGATGTGGTTCCACATCTTCGTCGTTGATCCTTGAATAAAAACTAAATGTGATACTGAGAAAAAATGTCAAACCAAATAATTTTATCAAAATCTTCCTTTTTTATTTGAAATGTGTCCCCTCGAATGAGGGTGTTAGTGCCTTCGACCTTATCCTTTTAGATCATATAGCACAAATCACTATTTCTAATGTATAAAAACTTTCTTTTTACTATCGCCTAGACCTATGTATTTTTTTTTCATTCTACAAACTTTCTAAAACGGATTATTAAACCACATACAGGTCTTTTAAGCCTTAAACCATTTACGAGGACTGTATATGCAGGATGCAGACTAAGTCGAGATCAAACCTAAGACCCTTTTGTTACTATAATAATCACTCGCGCGGAGCCACGCAAGTAAGATAATATATTTATCACTTCCTGAAAAATAAAAGTACAATTAAATTAGTGAAAAAGTCACTTATAAATTATAACGCGGCAAACTATAATGATGTTATTTTATAGAGAATATATACCGAAATAAATTACATTACCTTTTTAATGTTTTTTTTCTTTCCTTACGGACATTTGCGAATCTGATAACCACTCCATTATAAAGTGTTCAAAATCTTTTTCTGTATTCCGAGGGAATATTGCTCTAAAAGCTTCTGGAATAAGAAAAATTCAATACAGTTTATTGTTAGATGAAAGAAATAAATAATGTTAATTTAACGGCAATTAAAACTTATGATAATTATTGAAATAACACCAAAGTTTTCGGAATAGTTTACATATATACTAAATCGATCAAAAGTATTAGTTTATGGATATATATATTTTTCTTTTATTTTGTAAGAATGTTTAACGTGTCCTACACAGCACACTTTATCTGAAGGACGTCCTACAGACATCATTTTGGGATATCGCAATAACCGCGGGACATCCCAAAATGGTCTCAGATATCCGGTGGATATCCAGTGGATGCACAAGTGTCCGGCTATTTAGATCTTGCAGACATCTTTACAGGATATCCGAGGGAGATCGAAAGATATCGCAAGATATTAATTATAGCACTCGCGATATCGTATGGATATTTTATATACAATGAAATTATGGTTTAACCAGAAAGGGGATAATCGTATACAATCGTAGACAGAAATATTGTTTCTCTTTTGTGATAAATTTCGGAATGTGCATTCGTGTTGTTTAATAAAAGAATTCTTTCATTGGAAAATAAATTGTAAAATTAAACAAACACATTCCAAAACGTATTACAAAAAAATCAATCTTTCTGTCCATAATGTACCTAAAAAAATAAGTATATTGTACATTGCATATTAAATCTTTATTTATTAAAAGAATATATAGTTTTTAAACAAAATACCTCTAATTTAAAAAATACAATTAGTAAAAATTAAAATACATATCACATATACGAGTCTGATAAAACTTTCGACCCGAGGTACAAAAATAGAGGTACATATATAAAGTACTTTTAAACTTTAACACTTTTTGTAAAAAAATAACACCAATAAATGTAATGTTGCTGATTATTACAGAAAACGTACGGTCTCGGCTTTTTCACGAGTGACCAAGTCCTTTTTTTTACGTTACACAGACATGTCGAAACAAAATATATTTTTACATAAGGAAAATATTTAATTATGCAACAAGGATGGTCTTTTTCAAGAAGGAAAAAAAAACGTTAAAAAAGGCGCTATATTAGAATTTTTATGAAGGGACACTTGGTTTTTCCCTCCTCCGCCCGAGACCGTATGTTTTCTATCGCGCTAAAATTAAAAATGTATTAATATACTGGTTATCACAATAGCGGCATCGGGGAGAAGCCTAATGATTTCTTATTGTCGGCGCTTAATTGCGGTTGAAACATATTTGTAGAATGATGAGCTCGCCCACGTGTACGCTCGCACATAAATAATATTCGCCTTTTTTGTGTGTTTGATGTTACCGGAAGCAGCGACGGTAGAAATAAACGCGGCGAAAAGGGTTACAAAGTGAGCACACCTCTCTATTTCTTCCGTTTATAAAAGGGAAATAATGATATAGAACGCACGGCCGGTCATTCGTTTCCACGAAAACAGTCAGTTTTCCCGCACTATTATGCGATAAACGTTGCGCTGACGCCGAGCACGATAATAAAAAATAAAAAAATAAAAATAAAAGGACATTGCGGTAACACATACATAGCATTGGTATTTTAAGCGTGCAATTGGCATACATTTTTTTCTACCTCGTTTGTCATTTAATCGACTGTGTCATTTACTTTTGCTGTTGACTCATTGCCTTTTAAATGTTGTCTTGTATGTCTTTCCTTAGCATGTCTTAACCAGTCAGTTATACACTTCTTGATTCCTTGTAGCGTTGCATCGTTATGCATCTGCATTATAGTTGCTGAAAAATTAAAGTATATATATATACATATATATATATATATATACATAATCACTGTTTTATAAGTATTTAAGTGAGCAGTGGATAATATTTGTTTTCTAATTATATGTCATACTTTGCAGAACTATGTGAAACCGTGACTTGGAAAATTTCTCTTTATTTTGTTTTGCTCCGGTCCAACTATATTGCATAGCTACATTGTCCGACATCAAAATTCCCATAAGAGTATATGTTGTGTTTTTTACATTAGTACCTATACATTTTGCAAATAGTCGTAACTGCAATAAAAAATGACATTATTGATAAACTTACTTAAAAATGACAGATGAGCAAGTGTCTTTTTATGTTTAGAAAATAAGTTCGCCAAAATACTTAAAATCTTCACACAATAGTAATGTAGCTTTTATTTGACACTAATTTTATATAGCTAAAATCAACGTAACAATATAAAAAAATTAAATATTACACTCACCACATTTTCTCTGTACTCTTTGTCCATTTTCCACTTATCTTCGACCGCATGAAAATCTTCAAGCGTCTGTGCAGGAAAGTACTCGAGATGGAAATCAGTACTTACAGGATATAAAATTAGTGTCAAATAAAAGCTACATTACTATTGTGTGAAGATTTTTAAGTATTTTGGCGAACTTATTTATCACTATTTATAAGGTCAAATATTTACGTTGCAGAATTCCGATTTATTTTTTCCACTACGTTCTCTAGCATTGTTTCGCATCTTTGTCCTTTTAAATTATTTTCAACGACCTGTTTTAATGTGTCTTGTTGAAAGCTTAGCATAACTGCAACAGTTATTGGTATAACATAAAATATCAAATAATATAATGTGGTGAGATTAATGATGTACAATATTAATATGTAAATATGCTAAATTAATTCTTTTACCTTTGCACGAGTTGCAATTGAACGAAGAGAATATCGCATGGTGGTCTAAATATTATAGATCTTCCAGTAGCTTCGTTTTCTTTTGAGATATGTGCTTTGTGTAAGTTACTCTGCGAGTCATCTCTTCCTCTTGTCGTCCTACATTAATTACCAGCATGTAATAATAATAATAATAACTTATTAACTTCAACTTACATGCCAAGAAGTATATTTGAAGAAACTTGGTTTAAAAACTTAACATCCTCATACCATCCATGCAACCATCCCACTTAATACTACCTATTCTTAATTGTCCAGTACGTATACATATTCTAATTGATATAAGTTCTAGGACAAAATGCGTACGGGTTTCTGCCGCAAAATCACGGAATCTGTCATACACGTTGTTCGACAATTGTGGCAATGAACATATCGGCTCCGAAGGCACTAGCGTTTCACGCGTGGGTAATATAAGAGCCCTCACGGGCGGCTCGGGATCCGCGTTCTCGGTCTCCGGCGGTCTGCCACCCTCGAACATCAGGCTAATAATTGCCATCTCCACGTTTCCATCGGCCAACGTCAGGTACTGCTGGGCCGTCGCCTCGCTCTCGCCTAAACCAGAGGACACAATTAAACATGAAAAACGCTCGGGTACGTTGCAACAGCATAATGTTCCTAACATTTACACACTCGGCATTGTCACGATTCACACACGGACTCGAAGAAAAGCTTTGTGGCGTTCGTATTCGCGATGCTGTTTGGGTCGCGCTATTTAACATAAACGATAATTCTCGCGCTGACGCACGGACGATGTAACACTTACCCGTCACCTCGATAAACTTCAAAACGTTGCGTCAACAAAATATTTCAGAACGACACACGAGACACGTATCTGTGTACGTGCTGTCGTACGTTGCTGTCGAACGGAGAATCTTGTTCGCGAGGCAGACCCCGAGCGCGAACGCGACACGATTACAGAGATTCGGGACGAGTTCCTTTGATGAACTCGATAATCACTCGTAGAGAATAGTCGCTCTGGACATTCACGCACTTGGATGATTGGGCGGCGATACCGCGCAAGATGAATGCCGATCGTTGACTTTGACACTGAAAGAAAATAATAACTGGTGTCGCGATCACTCGTTGTTAACGTGCACATTGACAAGATGTCCGACCGCCGACGCGACATCTGACGTGTTCGAGCCAAAGCACATAACATGGCGTAGCGATATACGACAGTCGTAGTCCTCGACCTGACAAATCAGGATACGCCAAAGCTTGTGCGTTACTTACGTCCACGACTACGACTGTCATATGTGCTTTGGCCTGCTTTGGCCCTTTGTGTGGCTTCGTGCGCTTCGTGCCCGATCGACTCTCATCGGGGCGACTTCGGCTCGCCTATGCGCGCGCATCAACATGCCGTCTTCGGACATAGGGTGCCTCCCCATGCAGGACGGAATCTCGGAATCATTCTGATTGGTTAGTCCCATGAGGCACCCTTAGCCGATTCGGCGTCGTCGGTGAAAGCAACACGCTGCGAGCGGATCTTCTGATCCGTATTAATTTATATATTCTGAGTAGTATACGAGAATTTACGAAAAATAATATACTACTGTGAGATATTACAAGTACAACCTGAGAATTTACGAAAAATAATATATTCTAAAAGATATCCTTCAGAAGATCTCGTAAGATATCTTATGCAAAGCCAACGGATATGGCAGAATATTTAGATATCCTGAGATCATAATAGGATATCTCACGATATCTTATTGGAATATCCCGGGATCACCTGCTGTGATATCCGTGGGATCGTATTTGGAAATCTTGGTCAGTTTGGGATATCCTCAGGATACAGTGTGCTATATGTGTCCTGCTTTTTAACGATGATTGCCACAAAAAGATAGGAGACAATTTTAATAAATTCTGAGACATAAAACATTAATACTGCAAGTAATATATACATCTCTTAAAAAATTACTTACTTTTAATGCTCAGGATTGCGTATCTCCAATTTGGTAAAAGTTTACAATAACTTACACAGCTCGGATTACTTTGACCTTGACATATGTTGTCAAGGACATAATACTGAGTAACTTTTCCTTATAACTTAGTCGGCGGTCGCTACTTATTAAAAAGTTATAAACAAAAAAAGTTTGAAAAATATAGCAGCTATTTTGAGTATTGGAAGGCATAAATGACTAATATATATGTCGAAATAGTTCACGCATACACTTTTCACGCGAACCGAGGTTCACCCACACCCCCCCCCCCGCTTTCGGTGGAGGTGCGGTAGCCCTGAAATAGTTTACGCATGGGTTAGTTGACGCGCTTTAAACAATTAAATACTGTTAAAGCGCGTCATCTAACCTATGTAGATTAGTGACGCGCTTTAAACAGTTAAATACTTGTAAAGCGCGTCATCTAACCTACGTATTTTCCAAACTTTTTTTGTTAATAACTTTGTAACGAATAACGAGCAACGGCTTCTGAAGGTCACTCGGGGTCATGACCTTGACAACATATATCAAGGTCATTGAAATCGGTGAGGTTGCCAAACTTTTTTTTGTTAATAACTTTTTAATAAAAAGCGACCGCCGAATAAGTTATAAGGAAAAGTTACTCAGTATTATGTCCTTGACAACATATGTCAAGGTCAAAGTAATCCGAGCTGTGTAAGTTATTGTAAACTTTTACCAAAAATAGGTGTAAATCAATTAGAGCATTTGCTCAATATATCACAAAAATGATTAAAAAATTTCAAAGTAAAGATCTCGAGCTGTCAGTGTAAATATTTATCTGTTACAAAAATTGTACAACTTTTATATATTATCAGTATGTTTGCTCCGTTAAGGGGTTATACCCAGTCATAAATGTCAAAAAAATCGATTTTTTAGAAAAGATTTTTAAGAGGCAGTAGCTACAGCTGAAGACTTTCTGTATGAGCCTGAAATAGATGACTCTGTGTAAGTTAAAAAATAAATGTTTTAATTAGGTGTAATCAGCTTTTGAAACTTTAAACGCGTTTTTCTCGAAACTACGTTTTTAAAGTCGGTGAGCAAGATATCTCAAAAACTACTGCATCAATCTTTCTGAAATTTTTTGTGCTTTTTTTAGATATAAAAATATAGTGTTTAATCAAAGGATTTTTTTTCCTGTGTATACTTTCGTTTTGATGATCGAAAAATGTCCAGTTTTTTTTTCGCAAAAATCAAGACTCTAACTTTAAACACACGCCATTTTGTTTTAACTTAATATTTCGGAAATTCCATCGATTAACCACTAGATGAACTAATATACTAATGAAATCTTTTTGGTTTTTTTATTTTAGATAACCTTGTTCCGAACGGCAGTGCTCACCGCAAAAGTACTTTTCAAAAAGTGCTTCCCGGACATCGGCTGTAACTTCCTTATAAATGAATATTTTTACACGAAAAAATTACTGAATGTTCTTCAAATGTTACTGTTTCAAATACAAAATTTCTGTACAAATATATGCTTATGATTTTTCAAAAAAAATTTTCAAAAATTCGCTTTTTTCGGCCTCCTGATTAGGTATAACCCCTTAAAAAAAATTGTAAAAAAATATTACTGTACCATTTCCATTAAATTTAAAAGTTTAAAAATATATGAAAAGTTTGCAAAAAGATTTTTATATATAAATACTTAAGCTTTTTGCTAAATATGGTAAAACAAAGCAACATACATTTATATATAGAAGATTTATATGCATAAAAGACTTGAACAATGTAGTGTGAATAATGCGTTAGTATTTATTTGATATGACGTTTAGATGATTTTGTCTGTATGTTACTGACACTTTTAGAGTTTTTTATCTATTTTTTCATCTAATAAATTGTCATAAACAAAAAATATATGCATATGTTACGCCACAATCAAAATAACTATAAACATAGTAGATACAGATAATGCGCAATTACTATCTTTGCTATAAGTACTACATTGAAAATAATACCAAAAAATCGGTAAAAATTGCAAGTCCTGGTGATCTCTTTGTCGACTCTAAATTGCAAATATTATATTTACTACTCTTGGAGAGAAAAGGAGAAAGAGGGAAAGAAAAGGGAGCGAGAGAGAGAGGGAGGGAGAGGATTTTCAAAGTCTGATTTTATTGTGTAAATTTATATCTACTACGATTATGTAACTACTAACCGGAAATGTTATTCGTAAATGTTTATAGAATTAATTATAATTGTGATAAGCAGCTTTACTTACAACTTGCATGAAAGCTTCTTGATCAGTTTTTAGCATATCTTCAAAAGTCAGAAAATTGTCAATGAAAGATAAAGGGAGATATTGTCCAATCTTTGTATCTTGTACAATACTTTCCTTAGAATATTGCTCAGCCTCGCGGTCCGAGTACATCAAGAATATGTTCGATTCTTAATACTTTGGTATATTTCTTTTCTTCTGCAAATCTTTCTCTTACATAGGTCAAAAAATAGGTCTTGAATCACCAGCTACCTATTTACAGCACATATAGATAATTGAGTTTTTTATCATTAATATGCAAGTTTTAGAATATAATAATTACTTACCCATATAAAAATGTTGTATAGAATTAAAAGCGCTCGACAGCACAAGCACAAACGTACGTATATATGACACACTCACGCATCATAC